AAAGCAGTTGTGGGTTTCCAGAACGGCACCTGAAAAACTCAGTTTTGCATCTAAAATTCTGCTTCACATGATATATTTGGCATGTTTTCTTTTTTTTTTTTTTTAAAGATCAACAAACAAACAAACAAACAAGCAAACAAGCAAACAAAAACCCTTTACAAAGCACCCCCCCAACCCAGAGTCTCGGCTGAATTGGCTGGATCCCAATACTGGCCACGTGTCGACACTTGCAACGCTTCTGGCTTGAGTCGCGCTCTGCTCGCGCTGAGCTCAGGGTCTGGCCGAGCAGCAGCGTCCGCGGCGGGCGGGCGGGCGGAGGCTCCCGTCCGAGGCGAGCACGCACAACGAGCAATGACCCGAGCGCCAGGAGGCGGGCGGCCGAGCCGGTGACACGACAGCACGACACGGAGCGAGAGCGCCAGCCCAACACACGCCGGGGTGCTGCACGGGGCGCGCGTGAATCAGCCCGGCGCGCTCGGCGTCCGCCTGCGGTGCCAAGAGGCGGATTCTGGCTGGCATTTGCGGAGCTAGCTATGACTCACTGGGCTCCCCACGGGCACCGTGCGCGTCCCCGGGGCGAGCGGCGGCGCGGTGCTGTCGCCAAAGGAGCTCGTTTCAGTGTTCAGCAGTAGCTCTGAGCTGCAAGGTCCTGGAACTGCTTCTGAACAGTGAAGGGCGGCAGCGGCACGAGCGCGGGGCGCCCGGCGTGGGGTGCACGAGCTGGATGCGGGGCAGCGCCGGAGCGGCCGTCCCGGGAGCCCCCCGCACACGTGGCCATGGTCCCGTGCGAGCCAGGAGCAGGGCGTGCGGACACGGGATGGCGGGGCGGACACGCGATGGCGAAGCGAGCGGCTCCCGGCTGCGCCGCCCTCATCCGAGGGCATCGTTACTGCGGCGCGCGAGGGAGGTCCCGGGATGCAGGGGCCACCTCCGGACCCTCCTGCGGGACCCCGGCCCAGCGCCGCCCCCAGCGCCAGCGTGGGGCTCGGCCGCAGGCAGCAGGGAGGAAGGAGGAGGAGGAGGAAGGAGGCTCTCTACGGAATGCCTTAGCTCTGACCTCAGCTTCTCACGCTCAGTATTTCTTGACCTCTTTTTCAGCCACTCTCGTCAAACATCCTCCTGCGGAAGACTGTCTTGGAAGGAGACAGAGGCAGAGTTATTTTGGAGACAGCGGTTTCTGTCTTCTGCTCCTGGAGGTCCCCTGCCAGGAACCTCAGAGACCTCTGCAAGAGAAAGGCACCGGGGCCCGTGCTACAGACAACGCTTACAAGCAGAAGCCCCTCGCTCTTAGGTGGAAATACTGTAAATTCAGAATGCAACGTGCTGGGAGCCCACACCAGCAGCCAAGCCTGAATCCTGGGCAGCCGCTGCAGCCGCTGCAGCCGTTCCCAGCTGCAGCTGCACGGAGCGACGGCGGCGGCAGCAACTGCTGCGAGTGGCACCGCAGGGTCCCTGACGGCCTCTGGAGCCCGGGGGGCTCCTGGCTCCGGGGAGAGCTGCGGGCTGGGCCCTTGGCTTGCTCTGGAGCAGCGCTAAACCTAAGAGCAGTGGGAAGAGCCCTGGTGCTGTAAGGACGCAGCAGTTCCGTTCTCCAAAGGCCTCTGGGCCCAGGGGCTGCAGCAAGGAGGGGCTGCAGCATGCAGAGGGGCTGCAGCAAGGAGGGGCTGCAGCATGCAGAGGCTGCAGCACAGAGGGGCTGCAGCACGGAGGGGCTGCAGCAGGGAAGGGCTGTAGCACGGAGGGGCTGTAGAATGAAGAGGCTGCAGCACACAGGGGCTGCAGCATGCAGAGGCTGCAGCATGCAGGGGCTGCAGCATGCAGGGGCTGCAGCATGGGCTGGGCTTCATGCGGCCGGACCACGGGAACATCCGTCCTTCAGCCCCAAAGGGACGTGCCAGGGTTGCCCCTCGGGTGCCCCTCGCTCCTCGGCAGCACTGCTGGGTTCGGAGGGGACTCCTGGACCTTGGGTAGCGCTGCTGCTCTTAGGACAGCCCCAGAACTCGAAAGTGTGACCCGAAACGGGTGGTCTAGGCTTCTCTACCCGCTCTTTACATTATTTTCTGAATTTACAGTAATTTCGTTAAAATAGAGGAATTTTCACAATGCAAGAGTGTGAGCGACATCATCAAATATTCTATTTCCAGCTGACTTCCTGGAAGGTACTTCTGCTCCCTGACACAACCGAGAGTACTAGAATTTCAGAGGTGCAAGGCTGTGGCTTGCAGAGGCACGGAGAACTGAGGAACCTTTCACTGCGGAGCAGTCCGAGGCGCCGGGCAGGGGACGGGGACACGGGGCACAGCAGGGGACGGGGACACGGGGCGCGGGGGGCAGGCGGGAGCCCCGGCAGGTGCTGGGTGGCAGGGAGCAGGAGGGTGGCAGGGGTGGCCCCAGGCCAGCGGGGCGCAGGGATGGGGATGGCAGCAGCGCACGGGGGCTGGGGGGGCTCGGGGGGTGCAAGGGGGGGCTGAGTTGGACGCCCCGTGGGAGCTGCTGATGCTTCTTCACTGGGAGCTGCAGGAGACCACAGGGGCTGAGGGCAGAGGACGCAGGAGCCTCTCTCCAAAGGGAACCTCCATCGGCCAAGGTCCTGCCCAGATGAGGGGCTCGAGATGCTGCGGGGGGGCCCTGTTGATGCTGTGTGGGGTTGCAGCAGACACGTGCGGTCAGCACCTCCTGAGGGCACCCGAGGGTCCCAGGGCACCCCAACGAGCTGCACGAGCCCCTGTGAGACACCGGCGGCCAGCGGGAGCTCCCGGTGCGCAGCCAGGGACTGCATCCAGCAGCGAGAGAGTAACGTGTGGAGGGGGGAGCCCACGGGATGAACCACGAGGCTGGCACCCAACGCAGGGCAGTGCTCAGCCAGGCTGGCACTAGTGGGGGCACAAGGGCCAAGGGCAGGATGCAGCCCCAGGACCCGCTCGGGGGTGTCGGTCTGGGACATTTGCTCCCCATGCTGCAGTGTGAGACTGCCTGGCTGTGTTTGCACTGCATGGAACTGCAAGTCACCGCTGCAGCGGCCTGGTCAGAACCTGCAGTGAGGGCAATGCCTGTAGTGAGGGCAATGCCTGCAGTGAAGACAATGCCTGCAGTGAAGGCAATGTCTGCAGTGAAGACAATGCCTGCAGCAATGGCAATGCCTGCAGCCAAGGCAATGCCTGCAGCAATGGCAATGCCTGCAGTGAAGACAATGCCTGCAGCAATGGCAATGCCTGCAGCAATGGCAATGCCTGCAGTGAGGGCAATGCCTGCAGTGGGGACAATGTCTGCAGTGGGGACAATGCCTGCAGCAATGACAATGTCTGCAGTGGGGGCAATGTCTGCAGTGGGGACAATGTCTGCAGTGGGGGCAATGCCTGCAGTGAGGGCAATGCCTGCAGCAATGGCAATGCCTGCAGCAATGGCAGTGTCTGCAGTGGGGGCAATGTCTGCAGTGGGGGCAATGCCTGCAGTGGGGACAATGTCTGCAGTGGGGGCAATGCCTGCAGCAATGACAATGTCTGCAGTGAGGGCAATGCCTGCAGTGAGGGCAATGCCTGCAGTGGGGACAATGTCTGCAGTGGGGACAATGCCTGCAGCAATGACAATGTCTGCAGTGGGGACAATGTCTGCAGTGGGGGCAATGCCTGCAGTGGGGACAATGTCTGCAGTGGGGGCAATGCCTGCAGCAATGGCAATGCCTGCAGCAATGGCAGTGTCTGCAGTGGGGGCAATGTCTGCAGTGGGGGCAATGTCTGCAGCAATGACAATGTCTGCAGTGAGGGCAATGTCTGCAGTGGGGGCAATGTCTGCAGTGAGGGCAATGTCTGCAGCACTGTCCAGTTCTGAGGAGGGTTGGGTTTTGATTTGCAGTTAGATCTGCAGAACAGGGGAGAAGCCGAGGTGGAGGGGCCACTGCCTCTGTGGCAGCCAGAGATCAAGGCAGCCCTTGATCCCCCAAGGTGGCTCGGGGACCTGGAGCACGTGGGCAGAGCCGGGCACGGCGCCGGGCTGAGCCGGGTCCTGCAGAGCATCACGGTGCTCAGCGGGCAGGGCCATCCCGGCACGGGGAGAAGGCCCTGGGGCTCTCCCATACGTTCTGAGGACTGAGGAACCCTAGAGCAGTTCCGTAGGGAAGGAGCCTCCTCCACACGCTGGGGGCTCAAGTCCCAGCCTTGTGCACTGGGACCTTCCCAGCGCCCACGGGCTGAGTGGGCTGCAGGAGGGAACCCAAGGGGGAGAAGACCTGCGAGGACGGAGCAGCCGGCGGCCTCTGGGGCAAGAGGGGCCCCCAAGGGCCCCGGTGAGAGCGGCCGCTGCCGGGCGCCGCGTGCGTAACCGCGGGAGGACGCGGCTGGTGAGAGGGCCCCGCGGGGAGCAACGCTGCCGCCGGGCCCCGCGGCCCTGTCCGCGGCCACGTGCGGCTGCTCCGCACGCCCTGCTCCAAAGGGCCCCTCCGCAGCTCGGCCGCAACTCGGTCACCCCCAAAACTGAGGGATGTGTGCCGCGGCCGGGGAGGTGTCGGCAGCGGCGCCGCGGCCTGGGCTCCGCGCCCGCGCTCCACCCCGTGACCCAGCTGAGCTCCCAGTACAGTCTGACAACATTTGGAGGCCCTCGGAACGAGAAGCACCGGGAAAACATACACTGGTATTAACTGCTCGGGAGCAAACATTTAGAAGTGAAGCCCACGACTAAGTACAGCAATTTAACAATAGAATCAAGACAGAGGAGGAACACGGAACAACAGGGAGGCAATTCGAAGGGAAAAAGCAACAGTGGAAAGGCTCAGTTTGTGGTGCCTGTTCGAGGAGCCACGACCAAACACTGCAACCTCCGGGACCCGTCCCAGCGTCTCCCCTGCCCTGCAGCTCACGCGTGCTGACAGCTCTGAAATACCCCTGGAAACGCACCCCGCATCCTGCAGCACATTCACAGCCCCCTCGGCTCACGCACCTCCCTGCCCCGGGGGGTTCCTAAGCTCTGCACAAGCCCCCCACCCCGAGCAGCGAGCAGGGTCTTACCGTGCTGCGACCACAGGCGACTTCTTCCCGGGGTCTAACGGGGACCCGGCCGGTTCCTCCCCCAGTGATCGCGTATCCTTATTCAGCTGCTGTAGTCGGGAACTTAGCTCACTGATCACAGTTGGCTTGTCATCGTCAGCCCCATGGACTGGCCTGCTCTCCATGGGGTCCCCCCATAGCTTGGACCTTCTCTGAAAGAGGTAGCGTGGCCGGCCAATGCTGGCTGCCGCCAGAGTGGCCGCATGTTGCTGGGAGATGAGCTCGCTGTCCGAAGACTGCTTCAAAAGTGGGTCCCTGAAAGTAACTGGCCCCTTGCTGAGCTGGGACTTGAGTTTTGGCTTTGGAGGCACTGGTGGCTTCTCGAGTATAAAAGTTTGTCCATCCGCAAAGGAAGTGTATGTGTCAGTAGGCTCCCCGCTTTCTGAGGACAACGTAGACATGCTGGAGACCGTCGAGATGGTGCTTGTGGTCTCCAGGTGATGGTCACTTGAACTTCTGGTGTCCACCTCTTCCACTCCCGAGTCTGCAGCAGACTCTGGGGCTACGGGGGCATCAGAGGGCTTCCCTGAGGGTGTTCCGCCAGTGGTAGAAGGTGCTACTGCTGCCGCTGGTATGGATGGCGTGCTAGGCGTAGCCAGGTGGCTGATTGGTGTGCCAGGGGTGGTGACCAGTACCCCGTTCGCAAACTCGTCTGGTGGAGGCACCAGCCCTATCTTGGCCAGCTCCTCCCTTGTCTCTTCATCGCTCGAAGACAGCTGGGCTGGTGGGAGGGTAACGGTGTAGGGCTCCACTTCCTCCTCCGAACTCCCTTGCCCCAGCGTCTTGTCGGAGGCCGGACTCACTGGAGGCTTTCCCACAGGACTGGGTTGAGCCTCTTCCGGGGGGGACTCCGCTGGCTCCGCGCACGTCTCAGGGACGGCTGGCTTCTCCTCTTTCACCTCCAGCCCTATCTCGTCTTGGCCATTGCTTGTGGCATGAACCATGATGAGGCCAGCGGTCTTCTGCTGTGACGTATCCACTATACTAATGATCATGGACTTCTTGTCTTCTTGTTTTTTCTCCTCTTTTCCGGGTGTTTCTGCCCTGGCCTCGGTCTCTTTCCTCAGTGTGGATGGAGTCCCCCACTGGCTCTTTGCGGGTGTCAAAGTCCCAGCGTCTGCCCCAACGGCCCCTTTGCCTCCAGGGGAATAGGCGGGTGACACTAAGCTCTCCAGCTCCCCCCTCTCCGGTTCTTTGGTTTGGATGTCCACAAACAGAGGTGCTGCTCTTTCCGAGTCCGGGCTGTGAATCGGGGTGGGCGACCGGGATGAGACTTGTGTCGAGAGGGCCCGTTCCCTTGCGGCCAGCGCAAGCGCCAGTGGCGAGTTGGGATCCAGGGGCTTGCCGGTTAGGGGGTGGATGAACGTTGATGACGAGCTGCTAATTAATGGCTTTAAAGCTGAGACGGGGGAAGGCAGTAGAACATCTCGGCTTCCTAACAAGCGCTCATCGATGGACCTGGACTGCTGCAAGGATGGCATGTCGCTGCTGGGGGCGCTGCCTTCGATGGCCCCAACGGAGAGGAAGACAGTGGATTTCCGCCGCTCGTCCAGACGACGGTCTCTGTCCTTCATGACTCCCGCGATGGCAGTGGCGAAGGGGATGCTTGTGGCTTCAACCTGAGCGATGCCGGGGTGGTGCTGATACTCCACGCCGCTCAGGCGATGGCTCCTGCGCGTGGGAGACGGCTCCCGGGTGAAGCCCCCCGTGATGGACAGCGCCGCCCGCTCCTGCGCGTCCTCCACTTGCAGCTGCTTCACCAGAGGGCTCTTCTTCCTCTGCGGCTTGGTGGGAGCGAACAGACTGACGTTGAACTGCCCCATGTTGGCGTAGGGGTTGTCAATCACTCTCCCCTTCCTCTTCAGCTTCTCCGGGGGGGTTGCGGACGGGCCAGGCCGGGGGATCTCTGTCGGCTCCACGGGAAGGTGAGAGGAATCCTGGAGGATTATCATGGATCGCGCCCTCTTCTGCCGTTCGGGATAAGGTATGGAAGTCCTTGCCTGGTCATACATCTCGGCTGCGCTAATGACCTGCGGGAGTCCGTGGAGTTTGGCCTCCAGGCTTGGCTTAAAGCTTGATCTTATGGTATCGTAAGCTCTTGCCGGAGGCGGAGGCGGAGAGAAGGACGGAGGGGGAGCCGTGTCGAAGTAGTAGGGGGAAGGAGGTGGGGGCGGTGCTGTCTGAGGTGGTGGTGGGATCCCATGGCCTTCCCTCACAGTGTCTTGCATTGATGTGCTCCGGGGAAACTTCCCGTCTAGCAGAGAAGCCGCGAGTTTCTCGTCTTCCCCTGGCAAACCAGAACAACGGAGAGGTCAGAGAGGAGCTCTGCAGAGCGGCCGCTCGGACAGCAGCTCAGCCCGCACATCGGACAACCCCTTCTGCTGCCCACTCCACTCGCTTTCTCAAGTGACCTTCCACTTCTCTCTCTTTGGCGGCAGCAACTGCCGCGCAGCCCTTCATTCGTGCAGCATTTAGATGCCCGGCACAGAAGGACAGCCACAGACTCTCACAACATCCCATGGAGCTCGTGGCCCGTCAGCCGGTCCTAACAGCCTCAATGCAACCGTGCCAGGGCAGAGCCGCCGCTGCGGGGAGCTCCCGGCAGCCGAGGGCCCGTGCAAGCCGGCGCCGGCGTTCCCAGCGCGCTGCTCTCCTGTCACGCTTCCCCCTTCCACCCCGGGACGGCCACGTATGTTCAAATGTGCGAGACCAAATGCAGAGCGAGGCCTAGCAGCACTGCAAGTCGTGGATTGTGACAACTGGAAGGAGCCAAGAAAGCTGAATTCTGCCCTTGTCACCACTAAGCCTGGCCCGGGCGCACAGGCAGAGCTCTCGGGTACCAGCGATACCCAGTGGGGGATCAGTGGTTCATTGAGGGTGCCCGAGCCCTGGCCCAGGCTGCCCAGGGAGGCTGTGGAGTCTCCTTCTCTGGAGGTCTCCAAACCCACCCGGATGCCGCCCTGTGCCCCGTGCTCTGGGTGTCCCTGCTGGAGCAGGGGGTTGGACTGGATGATCCCTAGAGGTCCCTTCCAACCTCAGCCACTCTGTGGTTCTGTGATTAGCGGATCCCACCATGCAAAGCCACCCGAAGAAAGGTGCATTAATGCAGCAAGCGCAGTGGCAGAGAGGACACAGACACAGAGAGGATGCCAATAAACCCGTTCTCCCTGCTCCAGCCCTCTCCAGGAGCTGGCCCCTCTTTCCACAGTCCCGCTTCGCTGCTCCAATCATTTCTTTTCAATCATTTCATTTCAATCATTTCTTTGCCATATGCGGGTCTTTTTAAACACCCATCAGCCGCTTTCAAAGCCTAAAGCTGGTCTTTAAGAGAGAAGGCTCAGGATGGCTTAAAGCCACACCTTGGCACAGCAGCAGGGGAAGCAGCTCTTCTGGTCTCTAATCCTTTCTCTTTAATGCCCACAAGCACCCAAAGGGCTCTGGCAAGTGGGTGCTGTACTGCATTAGCAATGCCACCAAATGCCTCTGGATACACAGTCTGCTGGGAGGACAAGGGAACAGTTTTGCAAGCGAGCATTGGATTTTACATCATATCACATTTTTCTTCCTTAAGGCCACACTATTTTTACTGAACACTGACAGGTATTTTTAATACGAGGCAGCATAATGGGCTAGAGGCAGGAAACCAGTGTAAAGGCAGACTGGACAGGGCTGGGGAGGACCACTTTTTCGAGGGCTACTGCACGCATGGAAACCATTGCACTGAAAATAGTAGCTCCTGCGTAGGCATTCGGAGGAAATATCACATCCGTGCCCTGTTTCCACTTTTTCCTGGGCATCTGCTTATGGGCAGTGCCTACGACCGCATCTTGCGCTACACAGAGCCATAGCTTCCTTCTGCACGGATATTTTCACACTCTCAACAGCATGAGGAGCCACTGGGAAAGCCGTGCCCTTCTGATTAGCTCTGCTTCTCGCTTGGGAAGGATGGCGTGTGGGAACGGGGCCGGGAGCTCCGTGCCGGCTCCCGTGAGCGGCGCGCCGGCACCGGCCCTGGCACCACGCGGGTGTTTGGTCTGTGGGTCGTTTGGTGGGTCAGAAACAGCATTATCCTGTGAGGAAGGGTGAAGGGGACACTCAGATAACCCAAGCGTATTCCTGCATTGCTATTAGTTATTATTATTATTTTTAATCGCTGCTTTTCCGCTGTCTCATCTTAATCTGTGCATCCCACTTGTTGTTTCTCTGTCCTGAAAACCTCTCTCCTGCATTTTCTTTACTAAGGTGGGGAAGAGCTGCTCTGAGCCCTTCAGAAAACGAGCCTGAGGGATCACTGAGTTCAGTGAGGAGCTAGACAGGCCGGGGGAGCGAGACAGGCTGCAGAAACAGGAATTCAGGTCCTGCACCCTTGGGAGCTGGTGATGAGCTCAGGTCCTGCACCCCTGGGAGCTGGTGATGAACTGAGGTTCTGCACCCTTGGGAGCTGCCCATGAGCTGAGGTCCTGCACCCCTGGGAGCTGCCCATGAGCTGAGGTCCTGCACCCTTGGGAGCTGGTGATGAACTGAGGTTCTGCACCCTTGGGAGCTGCCCATGAGCTGAGGTCCTGCACCCTTGGGA